TGCTGTAATTTTAGGGGTGCAGTATGTGGGATTCTCAATCCACAACAAAGAAGTGGAGTCTTTGCTTTGGAGTAGGAATTGACTCAAAACTGCTCTCCAGAGCTGTGATCAGCACTTTCATCATTAATGTATTAATATGTATAAATATATCTATATGTAACTCTGTATACACATACACAGCTCCCCCTCATCAAACAGATTTCCTCGATACCAAATTGCCTGAAAAATTAACCAATGTCAAACTGCTCAACAAGATAAGTATCATTAAGGGAAAAAGAAAATCATCATTATGTTTGAAGGTGGTGTGGGGGAGAAAAAAACCCCAAAACCTCTCATCTATGTGTGGTTTTTTTTCCCTCCTCCCCTGTTTCCAGCCCGGGAAATAACATCCGATATCAAAGGGTTAAATTAATTTTCATTAAAATTTAAATTTGCGAAGGCTCCCTCTCTTCTTCCCTCCCTCCCTCCCCCCTTTGAAGGTTTGACTGGCAACCATTTCATATTTCAATCTCGGCAGAACAAATTGAATTAGATGTTGAAACCAAACTCTGCTCTGTTCTCTAAAGCCTACATGCTCTGCTTGCGCTAATCCTTTGCGTCGCCGCTGCAGACCTCAGAGATGCTCAGCAAGAAACCTGCCCTGCCACAAAAGACAATGAAAGGAGAAGGGGGAGAAATGAAAGGGGAAAAAAAAAAAACCCCAACAAAAATGAACAGGAAAAAAGAACCCACACCAGCAAACACTCAGGAGAATCCCAGCTGCAGCCCCGCGAAGCTTCGCTGGAGTCGGGCGGAGATGGGGAAGGGATCCTGCTTGGATCCTCCACCCTCTGTTGGGTGGTGCTGGATGGTCCAACCTCCTCCTCCCAGGGTGCTAAATCCCTGTTTCTTTGTGATGTTTCCCCCCCCCAGATCTGCCCCAGGACCAGGGAGGTGCTGCTGCTGCCACCCCCCCTGGCAGTGCAGAGGGAGCAGGGCTGGGGATGGTGCTGAGCAACATTGAGCAAGGAAAGGGAGAAATCAGAGACTTCCCCAGCACCATTTCAGCCAACCTGCTCTGAGAGTGCTGCTCCCACACCTGTGCCTCAGTTTACCCACCCATCCACCAAGCACAAACACCAGGGTGATGCCTTGGACCTGCTGAGTGTTTCAGAGCACAGGGGGACAGAGCCCTGGGTGCTGAGCCCAGGGCAGGGCTGGTGGCTGGAAGGAGCTTGGCAGGGAAGCTGGGACAGGACATGGCTGGAAGCACCAGGGCTCTGAGGAACAACTCATGGCCTGCTCCAGCACTCCTCACCTCCATCTCAGGCTGGATGCAGGTGTTAACAGCACATCCACTGGGATGCATCCTGAAATCAGCTGCTCCAAGGGAACCAACCTTTATCTGGAGGCCCAAGCCCTCCCTGCACACATCCTACATGGGACAGGCAGTTGCTGAACCCAACTGGGACTGCTCCTGCTGCCACTAAACACCTTCCCACCCAGCAGCAGAGCCCCAGTGCTGGGTTCAGAGGACAGCTCTTGCTTCCCCCCAGCACCACTCTGGATGTGTGCATTGCAGCATCCCAAAAACCAGGGGGATCCACTGGCCACTTGGATGAGATTTAGGAATTATGGCTGTGAAAATGGGAGGCACAATCTGTCAAAATCATTCCCGTGGTGGTGTTGGGCAAATCCAGCCTGGCTGCTGACAGCACTGCAGGCACTTTGTCCCCAGCAGGAAGGATTTGTCAGCCCAAGTCACCCCCCTGTGGCACTGTGCCCTCATCTCTCCTGGCCCTGCAAGAGTTTATCAGAACTGGATGGGGTTTCCTCACCTTAGAGGTGGGTGGTGAGTCCCTCCCTGCATGGAAAAGGGTGGCACCTAGGAGTCTCCATGGTGTTTTTATTACATTTCTCTGGATGTTGTGGCTGGTGAACAGGTTTCCTACCAGCAATCAAGGGTCTTCACCATGACCACCAACACAAAGGAGATCCATATGCCTGTCTCACCTCTCCTGAACCCAGGCAGGGTTTGCTAGGCAGGCTCAGAAGGAGGTGGGGGGCTGCCTGAACTGCACTGTGTGTGACCACAGGAAGCTATTTCATCCTGGCTTCCATCCCACACCCTCCAGCCTCCAGAGTTGCCACTCCAAGAAGACACAGGCCAAGGAGGAGTGATGCCAGTCAGAGCTTGAGGTGGCACCAACCAGACCTTGGGGTGTGTGGTGGCTGGGGAGGGAGCGAAGCTGTGGAGGCCCCGGGTGCTGGCAGGGAAAAGGCATTGGCCAAACTATCTGTTTTCCTGGCAGCAGCTGCAGGTTGGGCTCCAAACAGGCACTTTTTTTTGTGTTGCTTGGTTGTTGTGTTTTTTTCTTTGGCAGCCCATCTGCTCTCCTGCCAGCCGAGCAAGGGCCAATTCACCACTCGCCAGCGATTTTCTGCTGCAACAGCAATTCTGCTGCCTTCCCTGGTGGGAAAGCAAAGCCTGTGCTGGGAGCACAGGGAAACACACACAGTGCCTGTGCCTGCTTCAGCACGAAGCCTGAACTGAGCCCAAATCCAGGCTGTACCCTCGCAGACCATGGCTACAACCCAGGGGGGTGACTGAGAGGAGACCCCAGCAGGTGAGACCCCAGCTCAGGGGACACTGAACATTTGCAAGGCCACCTTTCCCCTCCTGGCACTGCCACCCCCTGTGGCACCCCATGGCATTTGACCCTTAGGCTCCAGTACCCACCTTGCCAAAGCCAGGCAGGTGCTAGATGGCCTCCTCCTTGTTGTTTTCCTCCTCTTCCAGATGCTCTAGGATTTCATTCAAAACCTCTGATCGTTTTCTCTTCTTTGGGGTGTCTGTCCCAGCCCAGGTGGCAGCAAAGGGGATGAAGGAGAAGAAAAAAAGCAAAGATTACGATCCAGGCTGACACAGAATCAGCTCTAGCTCATCTCCTGCTCCTTCCAGATCCCTCTTTCCCCCTCTTGGCCCCTTAACTATCACAAGCCAGGCCTCAGCAGGACACCATAGCTGGAGGTGTGACTCCAACCTCCCCCCCATGCTTTTTTGGGCTTTGGTTCACAGGCTTTGCTGGAAGCAAAGTGTCCAAACAGGCTCAGGGGTGATTATGACCCTTCCTGTTGACCCCAATTCTCCCACCTCTGTCCAAGAGTGGTCACAAAACCAACCCAGGTTCAGCAAGGCCCTTAGCAGGAGACCCCTGCTAAGCAAGACCACCTCCCACCTCAGCTGGTCAGGGGTGAAGGCAAGAAGCTGGCTCTCCCCCCACAGCAATGTCCCTGCTTTGCTCTTGCTGCCCCACACCAACACCACTGTCTCATGAACCCCCCCACACCATCAAGCTCCCAAAACCACCGTGGAGCCCAAAACCCCTCTCTGTGGATGCTCCAGCCTGTGGGAGCAGGACAATCCCCCCTCAACCCTGGGGGCTTCCCAGCACCTGAGCCAGCATCCCAACCCTGCCTCAGCACCCAGTGCCACGGGTGACAAAGCCATTTGGTCCCCATGCTGAGGCTGAGGTCAGTACCATGTCCCTTCCAACAGGGAAGAAGTGCCCTCTGGGCAGGAGCTGCAGTGCAGCCCCTTCTCCCCCCTCTCTCTTCCCCAGCCAGAAGCTCTTGCTCGAGAGCAGCACATGGAGAACAGCTGTTTAAATCCTGCTTTCAGACATCAAAAGCCTCGCTGGGTTTCTCAAACAAACAAACATACCATAGGACTAAAGAAAAGGTGTAAAATAAATAAATGGAACAAGCTGTGCATTTTCTTTTAGTATTACAGCTGCTGCGGGAGATAAACAACAAGTAAATGTCACAAAACATCAATACAGAAGAAATTAACCTGACAAAAGCTCACATCCCCCCCTCTCTGCCTTCCCCCCCACCCCCCAACTCCCCACAATTTTGCATTTCTGGAGTTCCCATCTAATGATTTTATTTTTCAATTAATTCCTTGTCAGAGAGCCAGAACCTGCCTCCCTCCCCGCCGGGGGCTGGGGGAGCTGGAAACCCCCCCTCCTTGCCTCCTGGTGCCCACCCACTCAGCTCAGGGGAGCCCAGGGGGGGTTGCAAGGTACCATCCTGGGACCCTCCAGTGGCTCTTCCCAGTTCCAAAGGCACAAGGGTGTTTATCCCTCCTTGCTTCTCCCCCAGCAAGAAACAGCATGAAAGGTGGTCCCAGCTCCCAAACCCATTGAAAGGGAAAAGTTGTGTCCTCCACCTGCCACCCCTTCCCCACCAGCCTGAAGGGAGGCGACCCCAGGGGGGTTGCACCCCCAGAGGGGATGCTGGGTGCCAAGGGAGCATCCCTAAGGAGCACGGGGCACCCAGGGGGACCTGCCAACAGCCCCAACCTTCCCCAGATCCACCAGCTCAGCTGCCACGACCCTCCCTGCAACCGCCCAGCGAGGAGGGAAAAAAAGAGGGGAGAAGGAACAAAACCAGGAGGGGTGGGGAAGCAAATGGGTTTGACTTCCGTTGTGCTGCTCCAAGCTGGTTAAGGTTTGCCCGTTAACGATCCCATTTGCTTCCTTTAAACAATGGGTAAAGCTGGTGGGGGTGGGCTGGGAGGGGGATTACCACGGGATTAGAACGTGGCAGGGTTGCGGATGCCACGTTAATCCTGCAGGCTTTGACTCCCCGGCTCTGGCATGTGTTTGCATTAGTTACAGATGCTCTCTGGGAAAGAAAAGGGGAAAAAAAAAGGGAAAATAAAATGAAGGAGAAAGGAGAGGGGAAAAAAGGGAGCCCCCAAGGCTGGGAGGTGAGAGACAATGGTCACGGCAGCCTCAGGACTTTGAAGGAGACTTTACTGAAGCCTTTCTGTGCTTAAAGGGGGCTTGTAAGAAAGAAGGGAAGAGATTTTTTACCACAACCTGTTCTGTTAGGACAAGGGGTGAAGGTTTTAAACTGATAGACCTAGATTGGACATAAGGAATTCTTTACTGTGAGGGTGGTGAGACACTGGAACAGGTTGGCCAGAGAGGATGGAGATTCCCTGTCATAGGAAGTGTTCCAGGTTATGCTGGATGGGGCTTTGGGCAACCTGGTCTAGTGAAAGATGTCCCTGGAGAGAGAGAAAGGGTCTGTGAAGAGGTAAAAGAAGCACTTTAGGGGGCTGAGGAACCTGGGAAAGCTGATGGGGAAAACGCTTCCCAACCTGCCAGGGAGGGCCTGAGAGCAGAGAAACACCTTCCCTGCAAACCCTGGGCTTCCAACAAGCAGGGTGAGCTGCAGTGGGGGGGTGTCTGCTGTGTTACACCCACCCACGGACCCCTGTGAGACTGGGGGTCTTGCTGGCAACACATCCAGGCCAGCCCACTCCCCACGCAGCTCCCCCTCCTCCCCCCACCCCGCAGCCTCCCCATCCCCTCTTCCCACCTCCTCCTTCCCCTAAACCACCCCCCTCCTGCAAGTCATTCCTTCCCGCCTCACGCCCAGAATTCCCCATCTGTCCATTTAATTCTTTGATCGATGGGAAAGAGCAGGAAAAACCGGCCCAGCACAGCTGGCTTCCCAAGTCAGTCCTGGCAGGAAAGCACCGGCCCCGCCGCCGCCGGCTGAGCGCGGCGTTTGTGCAGCACAGGGAACACAAGTCAATAGTCATTTAGCTGGATTGGGAGCAAGTACCTTCCCTGCACGGACTGAGAGTTCCCAGGAGAGAGGGAGCGTGTGCAGGCCCAGGGCATGGCTGCCTCCTTCCCAGATATTCCCCCCAGCCAGGCTCGTGGGGATGGAGCTGAACCGGCAGCCTCTGCCCCATGGCTGGGAAGTGGGGGAAGGAAAGGGGGATCACAGAATTGTCCTGGGTGGAAAAGATCTTTAAGATCATGAAGTCCAACCATTAACCTGACTCTACCAACTATTAACCCGACTCTACCAACCATTAACCCGACTCTACCAACCATTAACCCAACTCTACCAACCATTAACCCAACTCTACCGAGTCCAGTGCCTAAACAATGTCCCTCAGCACCACATCTACAAGGCTTTTGGCTCCATGGGGATTCCACCACCTCCCTAGGCAGCCTGTGCCAGTGCTGAATTATCCTTTCAGTGAAGGAGTTTCTTCTGATCTCTCATCTTAACCTTCCCTGGTGCAACTTGAGACCTTGAGGTGTTCACAGAGCTCCTGTGGGCTGTGGTTGGGTGATGAGGGAAGGCAGGAGATGGGCAGGCTGACCCCAGGCTGCTCTCTCCTGCATCCAGATCCACCCCAGGGCTGGCAAATCCAGCTGCAGGACATTGGGATGCCTTGGGTACTGTTTTCACAGGGCTAAAATATTCTCCCTGCTGGCTTTAGAGATGCCAGTGACCCTTGTTCTCCAGATCCCCCTCCCCAGATGAGGGCTGAGATGCTGCTGGCAGCAGGGTTTGTGCATCCTTGGTTTGCCACTTCCCTGCTCCACATCATAGGCTGGATTAGAGGCCTGAAGGCCAACCAATCATTGGCCAACCCTTCCATCCTTCCCACCTGGCAGTAGATAAGTCTCTGCATCCCCAGCAGCCTCAAACCCTGTAGCTGGCCAAGCTATCCAGCCACCTCATAGCAGTGGGTTCCACAAATGAACAGCACATGATGGGCTGCAAGTAAAACTCAAGGAAAGTGGGTTGTTTTCTCTTCCTAATGTAAGATCCTGTTGCCTCAGGACCAAGAGAAGCTACGCTCAGACTTCCAGCTCTTCCAGGCTGTGGTCAGAGACAGGGGAGCAAGTGCAGGGGACATCAACCTGACACCTCCAGTGAAACCAGCTCCAGCAGTCAGTGACCAGGTTAGAGCTCCTCACTTTTTCCTGGAACATTACAAAGACTCCAAACAAGCCTTAAAGAATGACCTGAAAACCACAAGAAATTGGGAAGGAAGCTGATTCCATTTTATTACACCTATTGAAAAGATGGCTCAGAAGTGGTTTGATTGCCACGACAAACATCTGCACTGAGAAAAGATTCAGGAGACCAGACCTCTCTTTTAACCTAACAAATAGCTGCAGAGTGAGGGCTGGGAACTGGAAGGCAAATCTCTGGAAATGGGTGCCTAGAAATAAGGTGCATAATTGCAGCAGAGAGAAGCCAGTGGTAGGATGTGTCTCTTGCAGTCCAGGTCTAAACTTCACAAAGTGTTTCCTTGCTAAGACAAAAATGATGGGGCTGACAGGGAGCTGGGTGAGGGGTTTTGGTTGGTGCTGCTCAAGACACCAGCCTGAAAGATCAAGGTGGCTCTTTCAAGGTGCAGAAACCTGCTGGGAGGGCAGCAAGACAGCAGGATGAGCTCGTTACTCAAGTTAAACTCACCATCAGACCCAGGGGAGTGCAGGTCACTGGGTTGTCCCACTGGACCTGGGTAATAACCATTCCCCCAGGACTCAGGGCAATCTTCTCCCCCTCTGTTAGCACTCTGCAGCCTCTCCTACACACCCATCCACCAGGAAACATCCATGCAAATCTACTGTGTCCACAGCAAACCAAAAGACTGCACAGAAAAGTGGCAATGGAAGACGAAAGAGGAGGAGCTGCTCAAAATAGTTACATCCCAATTGCATAAAACTTGGGGGAAATGTGTCTGAAAGCCCCATGAGATGGGCAGTCTCAGTTCTTTGTCCTGCTTAGCACTTTCACCTCTTCTGCTATGTGCAAAGTCCTCAGCAGGTTCCCTGGTGGCTTTTATTTCTGTGGAATAACCAGGACAAAGGCCAAGAGCAGCTGAAGCCACAAGTCACACACACCACACTGCTGCAGCAAGACCAGCCTCTCCAAACAGCATGGGCAGCTTGTGGTGCTGGAGGCCTCTGGGTCCAAAAGGATCACAGAAGACCTTCAGAGAATGGAAACAAAAAGACTCTCCCATGGGATGGCAATGCTCAACCCTGCAGAACAAGCTGGGTTGGGTGGTGGGATAAGACCCACCTCATTCACCACACTGTGCCTTTTGAAGGCATCTGCCTCCATGTCCTGCTTCTCAGGTGCTGCTGGCTGGGCTTGGCTTGCAGAGCAATGTGAGGACAGCAGCAGCAGTGGCTTTTGGTGGCAAAGAGCAGCTGGAGACAGCAGGGACCTTGGTCTTAACTGTTTCCTGAGCCTTGAAGACTCAGTCTTTTTTCTCCCATTCCCAGCTCAATCCCTTCCTACCCAAAGATAAGGGACCTGAGTGGCCTGACCACTGCAGCCTGCAAAGCTGTGGGAAGACCCTCACGAGTCACCCACACTGAGGTGGGTGAGGAAAACCCATGGGGACATCCATGAACACCACAGGGATGTCCAAGCTGCTCCTACACCTTGTGGGGAGAGGAGCAAAGTGTGGGGAAGTTGGTATGGGCAGGGAAAAACGAGCTTGGTTTCTGAGCTTGATTTTTCCTTGGGGCTACCGGGCATCACTGCCAGAATCCCTTCATCAAGTCCACCTCAAAATCAGAAGGCACTTCCCAAAGAAATCAAATCCCACCTGTGAAACTCCAGCAAGCCAAGAAGGTTTTTCCCCTCTAGACTGAGCAGGGTAGAGAGGGAGAAAGGAGATCCCAAACATAAAAAGGGGTGCATGGAACACCACACCTCTGCCCTCCCCACCTGGGGGAGACTCACACAATGTGTGCCCTACTTGGGTGGGCACATCCATCCCCAGCAGACCTGTCCTGCTGCTCACACACATCCCCAGCAGCCCAGCTCTGCACTCAGGCTCCCACACACACCTAAGCACCACTGGGCTCCTTCCCATCTCCTTTCTGGCACCATGTGGGAGATCAGACATGGCTCCCAGCACATCCCCCTTCACTCCACACCTCTCCAGTCATACCCACCACCCTCAGCCCTTCCACCACCACCACACCACAGCTTCCCCAGTCTGCAATACTCAGGCATTTCACAAACAGGAGGGTCCTGCTGGAGTCAGGCTCATGGCTCCCATTGCTGAGGACTGCACCAGAACTGCTTGTGCCACCCCCCTGGGTGATGGGCACGTGTGTGATGAAGGGGGGAGGCCGGGAGGGGGTGCAGGAGGAAGGGCATTGATCTCCAGCTTAGCTCTGCAGCCCAGGGGAGCCCTTCCTACATAAATATTTGCCCAGCAATGCATTTGTGCCTGTCGATGGCTGTCAATAGGAGCCCGCAGTGCTGTTATCTGCAGAGCTGTCACTCCCAGGAACCCGAGCCCAACAGCCCTCTCCACATCTCCACCAATGGCCCAAACCGATTTGTCCTTTCTCATGCCTGTGAGGAGCCTGTCCCCCCACTACAGAGCCCCCTGAGGTGCAGGTGGGGGGAGCAGAAGCCCTGCAGCTGGCAAGTGGCAGCACACAGGGAGTTAAGCAGCTCACACGCACATGGAGCTGTCAGACAATGGCCTCTTGCTTCCCTCTGCACTTGCATCCTCAGGGCTCCAGCATCTACCTGCCAGATCCAGCAAGCAGCAGGGAAGGGGGCTGGCAGGGAAAGGGTTGGCAGGGAAAAGGGCTGGCAGGGAAAGGGCTGGCACAGCCTGGCAGTGTGTGCCAGCTGGGCGGGTGCCAGGGGGGGCTGTACCCACAGGCCAGAAGGATGCTGCTCTGTTACCGTGGAAATGATCTGCTGTTTTCCTTCTCAGGGCCTCCAGTGTCTCCTCTGTGTCTGCCCACTCCAGGACCAGCCTCCGGCCGTACAAATGTGTGCTGTGGCACAGGGCATTGAAGGCTTTCTGCAGGATTAAGAGGGAGGAAAAAAAAACAAAAGAGAAAGATGAGGGAGGAAACAAAACCAGGCTCGCGTGAGGGAAAGCAAAAAGGTGTCCCTCCCTCTGCCCTGAATCTAAAAGGCCCCCAGAGAGCATCCTACTTGGAGCACTTTGCTTTGATGGGGCAGGATTCATCTCCATCAGTGGCTTTGACTGGGTCATTTATCTTCTATGTCCTCACAGCAGAGCAAATAGCCATGGCTATTCCTGCAGGCTGCTGGGGCTGGCTAGGGAGGGCTGAAACCCAGCAGAGCAAACAGCTCAAGGTTGGCTGCAGCCTCCCAGCAACCCTGGGACACACCTGAGCCAGGAAAGGCTGTCAAGGGTTGGGGCAGCACCTCCCCACTCTCCCCCCAGCCTGCTCTCTGCAGCAAAGCACAGCTCCAAGAGGAGCAGAGAGCAACCTCTCTGGGGCAAGGAGTTTGAAGAAGCACTACCTGGCCAGGTAAAGCTGCTTTCCTCTCACCAACCCTTTGGTGATGTTGGCCATGGGGGCAGCAAATGTGGCAGAGCCAGAAGCCAAGGCAGAAATCCCCTTCTCTTTTTCCCTGTGGTGGTTTTGCTGTGTTATACAAACCCAGAGGTTTCCTCATTGTTAGATCCTGCTTAATAACACCCGTACAGCTATAATCTCTTGCTGATGTTGAATACAAGCATGCTGGCCAGCAGAGAAGCTCAGACAGCTTATTATGCCTGTAGGCAGCCAGCAGAGGCTTTCAGGAAACAGCCACTTGATCCAGGGAAGGTTGACTTTGCCTTCATTTCCCATAGACTTTCAAGGAAATTCAGGACTGGTCTGGACTGGGCCCATCACGGGAACACACAAACATGCTGCTCAGATGTTTCCATCCCCAGGGGCCCTCCAAGTGCTCCACAGCAATGCAAGGAAAAGGAGCCCAAAATGCTCCTTTGAACTCCCCAGCTATGGCTGGGATTAAGTCCAGTTCTAAGCTCTGATGACTTGATGATCTTAGAGGTCTTTTCTAACCTTCAGGATTCTATGCTGCAAACTTGCACGCCTGGAACAAACGGGGCAGCTGCAGGACCACAGAAACATGCCCCACTGCCCAACAGGGATATGGCCTCTCATCTGGAGGCCCCCAAAAACAGCACCAAAATTGACCTGGAGGAGCTCAGACCTTTCATCCAAGCTGTTTGCTAGAAGGTACTTCTGATCCACCACGGATGTCCCCAGATGCCACATCTGTGGGCAGAGGGGCTCTTCCAGCTTTGGCTACCGGGACCCTCCCTGAGCCACCAAGTTCTGACACTCAAAATAACCCCCAATTTCCAGTAACCACCACTCAGTAGCCTCTATTTTCTCTTCCTTCCAACTCCCTTTCACTCGTATCATTCTCATTCAACATAAAAAAGAGCAACGACCAGCACCAGCTCCACAGCATGGCTGAGATTCCCCACCTTCCCCACCTCCCAGGGTGACCCCAGCAGGGACACGTCCCTCCTTTTTGGGGGGCACATTCCCCTCGGAAGGGCTGCAAGCCCTGGCTGCTGCTTCTGCAGCTACAGCTGCTTTTATTTGCCACTGCTGTTGTTTTAAAGGCCTATTTTCCCTTGGAATGGTATCCAATTAGCAGAGCAATGTGTTGGCTTAAATAAACACTCGGGGGGAGGTGGCAGGAGGGAGCTGTGATGGCTGTTTACGTTGGCACAAAGAGCTATTTCCAAAGGCTGGTGAACAACTGCAGATCTAATCACTGGGTCTCATTTGTTAATTTGTACTTTTTTTTAATTTCTCACTTCCCACAGCACAAGGAAGAAGAAGGCTGGAAGATGGGATACAGCCCTGGCAACCTCACAGCAGGTCTCCGAGGAGGGCAGATGGTGCCAAACGTGTCCAGGATCATGTGGGCTCTTGTCCTTCAGAGCAGCTTGTTCTCCATGTCCTCCTCGTTGTAGGATTGTTTCCACATCCCACCACTCAGCCCAGTTTGGGATGAGGCACCCTGTGGATTTGTGGGGAGCACTGGGAAAGGTCAGGGAGCAAAAAGGAAGGCAGATGTTGCTTTCAAGTTGCGTTGGATGAAAGAAACCTGCTGGGAGAGATGCACCTGCCAGCAGCTGGGAGCACAGACCCTTCCCAGCCAAACACACTCCCCAAATGAGCTGTTTTCCACCAAAAAGCTGGGATTGAAACCACAGGCACCCTCCCAGCCCATGCTGGGACCCCTGGTCCCCACAGACCAAGATGGGCTCCCAGAGCTGGGGCTGCAGAGGAGGAGCTGTGCATCTCAGGTGAAAACCAACTGAATTTCCCTTGGTTTGGGAACCAGCTAAAAAAGAAAACTCAGCTCTTCACTGCTCTGTGAGAATTCAGACTTTTTCAGGGGGAAAAAAAACAGTAACAGAAGCCACTGATGATTTAGAAGGCAATGGGATGAAGGGGAGGAGAGGAGGAAATCTGCCACTGTTGCTATTCCAAATGAGAAGGTAAGAAGGGAATAAATATATTTTAATTACTTGGAAAATATGAATGAGGACAAACAGACTGATTTCCAAGAAAGGAGGGCTGGAGGTGGGACCTATTCTTGAGGTGCAGCTCCTCCACCCAAGGGTCTGCCTTCCTCAAACACCTTCTTTGAAGACCAAAGGCTTGTTTGTTTAGTTGGATCCAAACTAGGGACAGAGAGGTGTGGTGCCTGCTCATCCAAGAAAGAGACTCATCAGGAATGACCTGGAATGATGATGGCTTTGTATTATCCTACACCTTTAGGAAAAGGGGAGCCCCCACCACACCAGGCTTGGTGTCTTTAAATGCCAAAAAAGGACTGAGTTGAAGCTGAAGAGCTCCAGCAAATCTCCTCACAGGTTGGGGTTTTTTTTTGCTTGAAAACCCTCTGGCCACCTGCCCCTAAAAACCAGGATGTGAATATGCTTCAAAATGTCATTTCTGAACCCTCTTGGGCAGGATTTTGCAGAGTTTGGTTCAGGCTTAATGTCACAGCTCAGTGGGGCAGGATTTTGTGACCAGCTAGAAGAGCCTGGATGGTGAACAGAGAGGCAAATAGAGCAGGGAGAAGAAGGGGAGAAGCTGGATCAGCAGCTTAAAAATGTTTGTGGGATCCAGAAAGGCCATTTCAAAATTAAGGGGTGGAGAATATAAATTCATATGAAGCCCAGGCTGCTGGGACAGGACAGACACAGCCCTGGAGCAGCCCCTGCTGTGCCAGTGCCTTGGAAAGGCAGAGATCAAGAGACTGGCCCATTGCATCCATCACCCCCCAGTGCTACAGCTCCATCCCTCCAGCCTGTATTAATTTGGAGGACAGTGCTGCTCTGCCTACAGATTCCCTCTTGCCCTATTAAATACTCAACCCAAAGAGCCTCCAGGCTGGAGTCATTAGAGGGATAAAGGGTCAACAACATTAGGAGATTGATAAATTTCCCTTCCTCACAAGAACCAGTCCCAGCTGAGGGTGCTCTCTGTGATGCCAGCTGCACACAAGGATTTTTCCTTCCATGTCTGTGGATTTTTGAAGAGTTGACTGTCTTTCCCAGATGGGCCATTTCTACTTGGAAACCAGATGTATTTTTTGTATTGATAGGGGAGAAAAGTGGGAGCTCAGCTTCCTGTTAAGAGTTCAAAAATAAAAACAACCCCACAGACAATGCTGCACAATCAGGAAACATGTCAAGTGGTTCATGATGCTTTAACTGGAGTGAATTTGCTATTTGTTCCTTTTCTCACTTCCTCAATCTCACGCTCTCCCAGCTTGACCAGTGGGTATGGAAATCCTTCCAGTGAATATGACTTTGTCCCTCCCATTGCTGTCCTGTCTGCTGTCCTGTCTCCTGGCCTGGCACATGTGCATGCTGGGATCTGCTAAGTGCTCACGACACAGAAGAGAAAGGGCTGCTAATTTCATCTGATGGCAGTGTGACACTCTCAGTCCAGCTCCATCCATCACCCTGGGAACCACCAAACAACCCAAGAGACAGCCCTGGCTGCAGATGTCACTGTGGGAAAACCAGGCTCTGAAGGACAAGCATCTCCATCTGAGAAGGAGAAGATGCCACCAACAGCAGTGCCCCGTGCCCCAGCTGTGCAGCCACAGGGATGAAACCCAGCTGGGCAGGACCAATCTGCAGGCACAGCCCTGGGGGATTTTGGAAGGAGAAACCCACATCCCCCTCCTGGCTTTGGAAAATCTCCCACAGCAGCTGTGATGGCTCAGAGAAAGAGACAAACCCGGGAGGTCACAGGCTTTAAATGCCTAACAAAGCCACCCCGACCACTGAACAAACCTCACCGTATTTTAGGAGACACTTATAAGCAATTCCCAGATTCCCACTCTGAGCAAAAACGTCACTGATAGCCCCAGCTATTCAGCTCAGAGGTCTCCAGGCCCACTCCCTTCCTCTCTCATTTCACTTAGCAAGGAACTCTAAGCCAATTATGTTCATGTTGACAATATTCAGGATCCTATTCATCAACACCCAGCGCATCCTCTTCCAGACGGCCAATGGAGTGTACTTGATGGGCCACTTGTGAGACAATTAAATCCCTCCAAGAGATGAGGGAGGGGGGAAAAAAAACAACAAACACAACAACAAAACAAGAAGGAAGAAGAGCTGCTTTGCTGGAAAAGGAGGGGAAAAATCCTGAGTGATCTTTTGCAGGGCATCTTGTTGCTTGGACGTGAGCTTTGAGAGTGGTGCCCTGAGCAAGAGGCCTGCCTGGCTCTCTTCCCTCCCAGAGGGGATAGATGGGTTTCCTACCACTGGGATCTGTTTGTCCAGTGCAGCTGGAATCTGCCACTGGCTGCCCAAGGGGCTGAAGAGGGACAGAAGACAGACACTGAGCCTGTAGCCTGTTTCCTTCAGGAACTAAGTAGAAAAGCAGGTGCTGTCTCATTCACCCCCAAGTTGAGCAGCAGCCAGGTCCCATCAAATGCTTCATGTTTCCTTAGGAAAAGATGAATTCCAAAACCAGGAGGAAGGCCTGGAGAATGTGGCCTCCAAGAATGGCTCTGGAGTGAAGCAGTGGTTAAAGCAAAGCTGCCTCCAGGGGGGTTTTGGGCCCAGCTCCCCATGGGGGGAGGGACCCACATCCCTGAGGGGTCACTGCACCCCTCACTGCCAGGGGGGACAAATGCTGGGTGGAAGGAAGTCGGAATTGGGATCAATAGAGGACTAACAAAGAAACTCTCTATAGTGTGTTATCCAGGAGGTCAGGCTGGAAGGGATGATCTAATAGTCCCTTGTGATCCCAGATCAATGAATGCTGTCTACAAACATCAACACAGGCAACACTCGCTGTCCCCTCCCCTCTCCTTCATCTCCACCTACAGTCTCAAAAATGTGGAGCCATGCGGTCCCTTCCTTTCAGCAATAACATCCCTTGGCTTGTGCCCATGACTGTTCCTCTTCCAGATACTGCACAATCAACAGAAGCAGGGATGAAACCTGCCCTGCTCTGCTGCTGGGAAGGCACATTTTCCATATTTGCTGTCAACCAGACCACTCTGAGGAAGTATCCCTGGCCAGCCCAACACAGCCAGGTCCCCTCTTCAGACCAAGGCCACGACTGGATTAGAGAACTTGATCTCTGTTCTCATGTTCAGCAAGGCAAAGCAGACACAGACCCTTCCCCCCAGCCTTTCGACCAATTCACAACCACTCTCTCCTCTCATGGTCATTATCCGAAAAACACCAGGGTAAGGCTGCTCATGGGGGGGCCTCAAAACACACACAGGAACTGATGAACACAGGCCTTGTACAGCTTATAAATCAGTAAACTCCCACCATATCCAAAAACTCCCCTAAAACCAAAGCAGTGTTGGAGGTGGGATATGCACTTGGGTTCCCTGGTTTGTTATCATTGAGTCAAAACCCCCCCTTGTCTCAAAACTGAAAAAGGACAGGAATTTTTAGCCTTTTTATCAGTTACACTACACTTATGTCCATTGTGTCTTAGGCTGCAGTTTCTGTTGTGCAACCAACTCCAGTGGTTGCCCACAACAGGGTTTCAGCCTCAGAGCAGCTTTGCTGGTGGGTGGTAAGAACCTGCCCCAAATCTGGGCTAAGCCTCAGAGGGACAAAGCCTCCCTGCTCCCTTCCTCATCTTCTGCTGAGGGTGTCAGAGGGGAAGGAGAACCAGGTCTTCATCTCACCTTGGCATCCTGCTTGGTGAGGAAATCCACAAAGCCAAAGCCACGGTGGGATCCTGTTCCTGCCATCTTCTTGGGCAGCCGGACGGTCTTCAGCTCCCCAAAGGTGCTGGCAGTTAAGAGAGGGAAAAGCAAAGACACTGGTGAGATCAAGGCAAGAAAGAACCATCCTTTTATCCCAACCCATGGCACCACCAGTTGCAGAGCCAGGTTGCAGCAGTGCCAGTGCTGAGGGCTAAGGTGAGCAGTGTCCTGCAGTCACTCTGCTTCCCTGGGAGTCCCATGTCCAAAGCACCTTGTGACAGCTTGGATTTCAAGGGTCATCCTTACTGGTTGCAAACCTTCAAAAAGCAAAGCCCTTTTTGAAAATTTAATTTAATTTTTCATTTAAAAGTGCTACACTTCTCCCTTTAGGAGATTTGCAGAAACCAAGGAGCCAGCCTGCATGTCGTGCCCTGCTGAGGGTGGACAAAGGGCACCTCCAGGTCACCAGGAGGCAGGGCTGCTCCTGTCCAACCACCAGAACAGCTTGATTTGCACCTCTGAAGAGGGGCTGATGAGCACAGGACACAGGCAGGAGCCAGAGCACAGCCCCTTGGTGACCTGTTCTCTTTGCATCCCTAGAGCCTGTGTGCAAAGTGTCATCCCTCTGCTCCACGGATGCTGGGCATCATTTTGAAGACTGGATTTCTTCACCTTGACACTTCCCTTGGGTCCAGCACTTCCTGCTCTGCATCCAGGCACCCAGCTTCTCTCATGGGCTGGAATAAACTGCTTGTACCTCAGCTTGCTGAATGTAACAGATGAATCCAGCAGACCCAAATCCTGTGGAACAACCTCCAGATCTAACAGCCCTTCAGACAAGTTTTTGAGTGTCAGTAGAAAACCAGAGCAGGGAGAGAAGGGGGTTCCTGCATAGCTGGGGGGTGTGGGGTAGGGCTGGCAGCACCCACACCCCACCACAGCCCAAGGAAACCTTGTCATGGCCTGCCTGTCCCTGAGGAAGGAACCAGTCTCCTGAGCACCAAAGCACACAGCCTGGACCTTGTCCAAAAAGCCTAAAAACCAACCCAAAAGCAGCTCTCACCAGACACCCCCTCTCCAGTGCCACCCCCTGGAGAAATTCCAGGACAAAGCCACCGCCTTTGCTGCATCCAAGCTCTTGCTTCCTCTCCTCCTCCCCTCACGCCCATTTATCCAACACGTGTGCACAAACTGCAGGCAATAAATATTTAATGTGGACCAGGGTCTGAAGAGATGTGTTATTTTATTTGAAAATCTCCCCAGATGGGCACATCCACCACAGGAGCCTGGGATGCAGCAGTGCCAAAGAGCACCTGGGAATAAACACAGTCAAGGCCATAAATGCTCTCGTGAAATGATATAAACTAAATCCTGGGAGTTAACCTGCTGCACCAGCAGCATGACCAGGCATTCATCTCCCCAATTTCCTTAGGCAACGTGGTGTGTAAATGTACCATTATGAAGCCTCAAAATGAATCTGCACGTCTCTCTCCTCGGTGCTTTCCCTCCCTCTTCCCCTTCAACACAAACAAACAAACCAACCCAAGTGGAGGGGAGGGAGCAGCAGGGGCCAGCAAGGATGCTCAGCTCCCACAGCAGCAGAAGGGTCCTCCTGCAAGACGTTGTGGGTGACAGGGGCCTCCAAGCTCTGCAGGCAGCTCCTCCCCTGTGCAGCATCCCTGTAAGATCTCAAATGCCCCAGGTGGGTTAAGGGAGAGAGGGCAGGAGAGAGCTCCCAGCCCCAAGAGGTGAGCATATAGGGAAGAAAGTCAAGCCAGTGGGTGGCATGGGCAGGGGGAACACTTGCTTTGATCTGTCCCCCTGTGGAAAACATCACAGGCATTGTCTGAAGGGGAGAAGAACATCTGCTAAGGGAATCCAAGCAGAATATTTGCTAAAAGTGAGGAGGTCTCAGAGAACACCTGCTCTGTGCGCCAAAACACCACGTGGCTCCCTTTGGCACCAAGACTCAACAAGCACAAGGGGCAAAGAGGTGCCCGGGGCCTGTGGTCAGGGTGCCAGGGGGAAACCATGGTGCCCCACATCAGCCTGGGAAGAGCTGGGAGAAGCTGGCTCTTCCCATCTCCAAGCAATCCAAGGGACACGTATGGAGGCACGGAGCACAACCCAGAGCTGGGCTGGTCCCAGGCATCTCCCTGGGGAGGCAGGACAGTGGTACCCACTGAGATGGCTCCACTGCAGGAAGCTCCAGCACAGCTCCCAGCAGGGAACAGGCAAGGAGGGGCTGAGGGAAGCTGAGGGGACACAGGGCTGACCCCACCAGGGCTGCTGAGTAAAACACCCTCCCTCCCACTGCGGCGCTAATTAGAAACCACAACACAGCAATTACCAGCCCGGGAGCTGTGAATGAAGTGGAGAGCACGGGCCTTTAATGTTCTCCTCTCCAGCAGCAGGCAGAGACTCACACCTCTCTTTTCCAATTATTTCCTCTGGATTTGGGGAGGGGGGAGAAGGAGGAGAGAGACAGAGGCGGATAGAACCCAATTACCCCCCGCAGTGCCAGGCTCCCAGTACCCAGGTGCTGCCTGGTTGATCCCACAGCAGCTCCATCCACACTGCAGCTTTTTTCTGGGATGGCTGGGCAGGGATGAGACCACACTGCTGAAGCTGCAGGAAAGGGGATGGTGGAAGGGAAAGGGATGCAGCTCATCACTCAGGGAGTGTCTGAGCAAGCTGACATGGGGGAGAAGAAAGCAGCTTTTCTACAGGCTGCTCAACTGCAGCTCGTCCATAAGATCCCACTGAGCTGCTTCAAAGGATGTTTCCCCAGGGCTGGGGGTGGTTGGGGGTGTCACAGTAACTCAGACCTGGTGCCACTGTCATCTCCTTCCCCTTCAGCACACAGCTCTGATGGGCGTCAACAGTGTGACCATGCAGCACAGACCCTAGGGGGGGTTGTTCCTTGGAGCTGAAGTTTCTTTCTCTGTAGCAAACTGGAGGGGGATCAGCCAGGGCTGGCAGCAAAGCCTGCTGCTGGCACAGAGCACAGGGCTCCGTGGTTTACAGGGAAGTCCCTGGAGATATCCTGAGTGTGAAAGCTGAGTGGATTCTGGATTAGTACCCACTGGCATCTGCATCTTCTCCTGAGTCCCTGTGCTAGGGCTGAGCCAGGGCACAAGTGCTGTAGGACGTGGCTGTTGTTGGAGCAAAGCCCTTTCCTTCTTGAGACACTGACTTGTTTGCAGGCACAGAATCACCAAATCCTTTTGGCTGGAAAAGACCTTTTGAGATCATCAAGTCCATCACTAAATCATGTTACTTTCTGGTGAATCCTGGCCCTGCCAGACCCACATGCTTGGATTTGTGGCATGATTCTTGGTAGCACTGCACTGGGCTGTGATTTCATCCCAAATGAGAACAGCCAAGGTGCAGCAAAAATAAATGTCCTTTGTATGCAACTTCCCCTTGGAGCTGCTCAGTTTTGGGGCAGGGGGAAAAGCAAAGAGCAAGAATTTGCCTATGGAGGCATCAGGTTTGTAAAGCTCCCAGCAACCTGCCATGCACACAGCTGTTCTGTAGCCTCCTGACTTCCTTCCCCACATATTCATGCATCCAAACAGCAGTTCTCTGAAATCCTGACTCCCCACTCAGGGTCTGGAGGGCAGTGCTGAGGTGTGGGGTGGGTCTGGAAGACGTGGCTCTCCTGTGGGCAGCTCCCAGGCCAGGCTGGCAAACCCCCTTCCTTTCCTGCCAGGCTTGGCAGGTTTCCACACTGCTGGCTGGAGAGGATGGCAGCCCTGAACAAATGCTGCAGCTTAGATACTTCCCAAATGAGACCCTTTCTTTCATGCTGATCCAGATTCATCCATGCAGCAGGGAAACCAGTAAAAGCCTGGATTGGCCCTGGCTGAGCAACGATCCAGACAGAAGCAGAACACAGCCAGGAACCACCTTTTCCCTGACGAGTCCCTGGCCCCAAGCAGAAACATATGATGTTCCCAGAGATGCCAGAAGGGACATTTCCTCCCTCCCACCCACCAGGGATCCAGCAGTTCTTCATGGCATTGCTGGGTACCAGCCACTCTCCTGATGCTCTGGCAGCTCTTCCAGTGGTTCCACTGCCATTCCCTCACTTCCCTGGCTGACCAGAGGGAAGAGGAGTCCATTTCTCCTCCAAGCTGTAATATGTAAGCTGGCTGCAGGTCAGAGGAACATCACTCCTTGGGATTGTAATTAGATCCTTCTGGCACAGGCCAGCTGGGAGGCAAGTCCTTTGCCTGCTAATTAGAGGACATGGTATTGCTGGGAAAGAAAACACACATCAGCTCGGTACACACCACCCTGCTCACCTGGCCTTGCCTGCTCCCTGAGAAGTGCTTGTGCCTCCTCCATCAACACAGCCAAGCAGTGGAGAGCAGAGGATGACAGGCATCCAGGTGGTCTCCAGAAACTTATTTCTCTCCTCTGTCAGCAAAACACGAGTTCCCAGCCTGCAGCTCCCTCCCCTTCCATCACCACTCCTCCCTTCACAGCCCCAACTCCACCACAGCACGGCCAGGCAGGTGAGTTCTGCACCATCTGCTGACTTGATAACCTCTTCTCACAGCTCCTCTTCTCCCATTTTGGGTTTTGGTTGAATTTCTGCTCCCTGCTTCCAAGTCTCTCCCCAACCTTCCTCAGCCTCCCATGTCTAAGTCCAGCCCACTGCTGCCCCAGGCAGCCCTGATAGCTACTCACACACACACATTCATGGGACAGGTACCTACAGATGAAATTGAACAGCACTCCAGCTGGGAAATGTCCCCTCCATCTAAAACAACAGAATTTCAAGTGCAAGCTCCTTGGGACAGCCAAGACCTGTCCAATCTGACCATTATTTTCAAGGACTCTGGTTGTCAAGCAAAGCACAACTTGACACCACAAAGCCACGCGCGTGGTCAGAACGACCACCTGCTGTCCCATACCAGAAGAGCAGATCTTCTTGAAAAACAAACAAACAAACAGCATCAATAGGCTTCTCCAGACACATTCAGATGTCCCACTGCATGGGGCAGTCCTAAACCCCTCTCCCTCTGGCTTATCTCCCTTCAAGAAAAGCAAACCAGCAATAACCATGTTGGAAAG